TGGTGGGTTCTTTGGCGGAGGTCTCTCTCGCTGGAGCAGCCGCAAGGGAAGCCGGTGAAATGTCCCGTTTATGGCATTTTAATCCCTTGCGATAAAAGCAGCAGGGTTATGCACCCCGACGGCGTCCTAACGGCTGCTCCTGGAAACTGCCTCTGCCCTCAGGAGAGGGTCAGAAAGTGCCGAGGAGGGGGAGCAGCCCCAAAGCATCTGGAGATGAAAGTCATCCCCGCAGCCCTTACCTGGGGGTGTCCTCCGCGGGTTGGAGGGGCAAGGCCTTGGCCCCCACACTGCCGCCTGCGCCCGGGCACTGCGTGTGACTGCTGGGCTCCTTCCTGCACCCCCCAGCACCCTTTGCAGAGGGGAAGTGGGAAGGATGCCAAGGGAGAGCCAGGATGGCAGAGGAGCCGGGAGAGCAGCACAGGCTGGGAGGGAGGGACTGGCCCCCTTACCATCCTTCGAACATTGGACATGGGTCGCTGGAGCTCCGAGCCAGGGCAATATTCTGCTCCAGGTGTGCAGGGAGCCCCAAGCCCAAGCCATGGCCTTGCAAAGCCAAAGGGGAAGGATCCCGCTCCTTGCTTGGCCGGACGACGCGCGGCTGCACAGAAGCAGAGCCCTCTCGGGGCGAGCTCACGCTCGCTCCTGGCTCCGAGCCCGCTCTGCTTCCCTGGCCAATGAGGACTCCTCTGGCCGGCCGTTTCCTTCCAGCTGGAGTCAATTCAACAACATGACTGAAGAGGTATGAAGAGCCCAACCTGCTTCCAGGGAAGAGCTGGAGTTCACGCACTGATGGTTATGCAGGAGCACCCGGCTGCCTGCAAGCTCCTCTGCTTCCGCAGTAGCTGCTCTCTGGGGCCACGGGGCCAGCGGCGCTGCCTCACACACGCTCAGCCCATCAGCCATCGAGCAGCTAAGCCCAGCTGCTAGGCCCAGGACACACCAAAGGGTAGGAAGAAACCTGACCCCCTTTGCAAGACAGGATGCAGAAACACTGGGGGAACAGAGATATTTATGTTTGTGAAAGTTTCCAAATTGCCTGTTGCTGAGAAGGTGAGTAGAAGCAGTTCAGACTTGCAGATGCAGAGCAGCTGGTTTGTTCTTCCCAGAGCCCCCAAGAGCCCTGTGCAGCACCGGTCTTGCAGATGATAACTCTAGAGCTTGCTAATATAAGTGCTATGCTTTAAGGTGCTACTGCAATGCATCTGCATTTCTAAAGCACCATCCACCCAGTAGGAAATCCTACCAACTGAAATATAAATTTAGAAAATCTTCCCCACAGCCAGCAAGAAAAGGATGTAGGAACCATTTAAGCCTGAGAGACCAGGATATTGTGGGAAAAACTGGGACAGCAAATCCCAAGTCTGTGGGTTTTTTTTAACCTGCTTTTCAGGACAATCATTCAGGCACGGACGCTTCCAGGACGCAGGATGAAGATGTTTTCTCCAGTGACAGCCCAACAGCTGAACCCTTGCAGCAAAAGCCTTACCTGCTCCATAGGGTAGGTCTATGGGAGAGCTCAAGAGGAGGCAATCCAAGCAGAGAAACCAATCCCCCCAAAAAAACTTGTGTGCTTTTTGTACACAAGGGGTTGATAAAGTTGAGGAAGTTGGTTCAGACAGGGGAGAGAAATTGAAGACAATACACTTGTTTAGCTGCTAAAGGCTCAGGCTCAGCTATTGGAAGGCTCCAGTTAGGCCCCCTATAAGAAGTGGTAACAAAGATTGAGGCAAACTCCAGCTGCTTTCCTGAGGTGCTCCAGAAAAGGATAAAATAATGGTCAAAACAGACTGACTGCATAGAAGGAGAAATGTTTTCCCTGTGAAGACAGTCAGGGAATGGGACAGAAAGGTGGCAGCACCTCTGACTTCGGATGTTTCCGAAGGGCTGACCAAAGCCTGGAGCAGCCCTATTTGAATTCAGTGCTCATGCTGCTTTGAACAGGAGGCTGAACTACATGATCTGTGTTCCTTCCCGTGAGGGCTAACAGCTACAAGAGCACTTTAGTATCTTTGATCTCTTGATGAAGAGCCATTTCCTTTCAGGACACTGTAGCTACTCTATTGCACCAGAGATTGGCTTGGGGGTTCTTGGGCACCCCTGAAAACACATTTCTCATACACTCAATCCTAACAGAGCAGAACATTCAGCTCTCATCACAAAGAGCACATACTATTAATTAATCACAGACATTAATCTGTAAGAGAATTTCCTCTTCTGAGGAGGCTTCTGTCTGCCAATACTTACCTAGACAGGAGAGCCTCGATTTGTCACTGAACCAATTGAAGATTTATCTCAATTTCCAAGCACTTCCCTTGATCACCACATGTCTCAAGTACTGTACGTTCCCTGAAGAGTTGTGGCTGCTGCCTTTAATCAAAACATCCTCCCCACGTCTGCAGCCTCCTCATTTTTTTATGCAGCTCACCTTGGAGAAACAGCGTGAGCCAACACCTTTCCGTCTTTGCAGCTGCCAAGGTCATTTCTGTTGGAGCTTTATGAAACAGGTTTCAGCAATGCAATAACATGTATTGTGAAGTTATCACACAAGTCGTATTGTGAAGAAAAACTATTATTTCAGCATCAGACATGTTTACCAGATTATGAAGGCAAATAAGCTTCATTTTTATAAAACACTTTTGCAGCAAGTGGATGGATGTTAAAGGCAGGTTTGTGCACTGACTTTAGGAAAAGGGTGCTTTTTTTAAGCCTAATCTATCCATGTTCCTTGGCTATAATTATTCTAAGCAGAAGGCTATTCCAGCTATTCAAGAGTTTAGCTTTAAGTTAAAATAGTTTGTGGATGTACAACTGAGGTCAGACTGTGGTGCCAGCATGTTTGCCCCTTACACACTGTGACCATCCCTCAAAACACTCCTCCCTTCTGCTTTTGTTACCCAGCTGTTCCAAGCTCCAGCTGCCCTTTAGGCCCAGCAGCTGGCAAGAAAGGAAGAGTGCAAGGGAAAATTAATGTCGCTGCAATGAAGTTCACGTGGGCTTTACGCTTTTCAAGGGTACTGAGGACAGTACTCAAAAAGGGTCACTGAATACCCACCTATGACAAAGCATCAGAGCAGGTGACAGCTGTGTAAGGCGGTGCCACCAGGACTGGAGACAATTCCTTTGGCAGCTGCCTCCGAGGACGCCCAAAGCACAGCGTTATGTGCCCTGCTGGGCCTCGCTGATTCAGGAACTTCATACACAAAATACACATTTCTTATTTACATTCACTTCCAATTTTTATTCTATTTCTTGCATGGTCTTCAAATACAGTTTTACAGGTCTTTTTTTTTTTTCTGCTACAGATATTGTTGATCAAAAACAGATTAATGAAAGTGGCATTCCAACCTTAATGTAAATTCATAACCATGAAAGATATGTCAACATATCACTTTACAATCCTAGAATTATGGTATTGGCCTGACATTCCATAAGTTTATACAATTAATTTCTATAATAACAAAGTCATAGGAAGAGAAAATGTGGCAACTCCTTAAAAGACAAGAAATAAGGCCACAAGCATCCTATGCTATAATGAATCCAGATAAAATAAGTTGACTCTGGTATCCATGAAGAAACAAAACTCTCCCATCTGATAAACCAAGGTATCAGCTACTCAACATGCACTCAAAGCTGTATAAAAACTAGTGGCATTCAGCTCTGACTTACATGAAATTCAATAGCATAACCCCGTATCTCTCTCTAAAAATGAAATGAACTTGTTTCAACTTAAATACTTCGCTACCGCATTAAAAAATTGTTCACATTCTGCAAAGGAAAAAAAAATACCTTGCATGTGACTGCACCAGAAGGCCAAATGCAGCATCTCCTTCCAGGTTGCAGACAACATTTCTGCAGTCTTAATGCCATTCATTACAGGCTGTACAACTTCTTCAAAGCCTATGCAGCTGGAAGCTTAGATCAAGAACTGAACTTCCTTTGTGCACCATAAAAAAAAAGAAAAAAAAAAGAAAAAAACACAGTTGATGGTAACAGGTGAAAGAAGCAAGGTACTGCAAGGTGGGTATCATTGGCCAATTGCACTTCTGGGACACTGGGGCGTCTGTGAAATACCGATTTCACAAGTGATGCAACTACCTCACTTGCCAGATTCCATACCACGCTGACTCCATTACATAGCCAAACATGTCAGACCTGGGAAAAAACACTAAACTCTTGGAACATTTAAAAGCAGGTAACCATTTAAATAATGTGTAAAAATGTGTTTATTGTGGCATTTCTTCTAGAAAAGTTGATACAAATGTGCAGGATTTGAAGACCCTGATTTAAACTAGTACGAACAGGCTTTGAAACACAGAATGTTCCAAGGAGAAATCCCAGCCGTGGGCCAGCTCCCTGCCACTCACCTTCTTCCATCCACAATTCTGTGCGAATGCCACCAAAAATTAGAGGTTTAGCAGACCACCCCGTGAATTGCTGTTCAGTCCCAGGAGAATGATGATAGCCTCAAGCAGTGACAACCTTGCAAGAGAGCAAATTACCACCTGAAGGAACGATCCTTTGGGATCAGCACCCCGTACTCAAGATGGTTGGTTTCTAGCCCTGGATATGAGGCACAGTAAAAAAGGTCAGTGCTGAGGACAGATTCGCTCTCCACTGTGGTTTTACATTATTCAAAAGTGCCATCTTGGACCTAAACCATTTCACGTTTCAAAAGAAAAAGTTACAAAAACTGGTAAACAAAAAGTTAGTCAGCATACAGTTAACTTTATGTACACCAAAATTTACAAGTTTTTCATTAAGTGACTTCTGCCACAGACCACTGCACATTTGTCCCTAACAAAGCACAAAGCTTGAACCAATGGTCATTAGAAGTGACAACAGGTCATTGCTTTATCAACAAGCATAAAGATAGTCAAAAATAGAACTGTAGCAACTTATCTTTAAATTTGCTGATTGACACAAGTAATCCCTCCCATTTCTGCAACTCCCAGTTGCACATTCCCTTGCACGACAAAGAAAAAGACCTCCATTTTTACAGATACTTCCGACAGAAACGACTGCTCTGTCGACACCTGAATGCAGAAAACTGCCATCAACCACATTGCTGACTGAGAAGGATTCCTCCACGAAGGCATAGGCCATGCAAGATTCCTTGGCACTTCACACAAGACCAGGAGAGGACAAGGTTTCTCTTTGTCAAAACAGTGTTTTCAGCAGCAGCATCCTCTTCCAACAAATTACAGTCCGAATGTGTGATGGGTGATTTTCGCATAGCCCCTTCTACCAAGCTGGCTTATTGCCAACTTTGTGCAGCTAGACCATATGAAGATCCCCACCACTACTTGCCCAGCTGTTAAGGGACTACAGTTCTGGAACAGTTTGCTGTCAAGTACTTCACAGGCTTCTCCCAAGGATAACAACATCCTTTGGAAATCCTTCCATTTTAGCTATTTCAAAGCAACCTAGCTTGCTGTAAAATTCCAGAATTCTTTTATCGTCTGGTCTCACT